CAATATTCGCAAATAAAAATCAATGTATTGCATTCCGTGAGTTACCGATACCAGTCTACGAGAGCGTAAGTACATGCGTTCGTATGAGCAACAAAAAAATATGCAATTCATCTGCGCCAGGGCACTTAACCGGCGGCCCGCACAGCCGTAAAATAAACCAACAGTACAGGAGACATACCCTATGTCACACCAACTTAACCAAAAACACAGCGAAATATAATACGTACACCCTATATATATGCAACGACACAATACAAGATATAAATTAAATATTTTCAAGAACATAAAACTAATTTTGAACGATGAACTAAATTTTAACCAAAACAAATTAACCGACATATAAAAAATTATATCACTTATGTAATTTTTTTTAAAGCCTCTTCCGATGTAATGTGCAACACAGGAGATGAATCCGATCGCCGAACCATAATTGTACAGTTACGTACCCAACAATATTTGTACTGTTTTTCTTTTGCAATGATCTTAGCCTGTTGTAGTAGATATTTGTTGCGACTAGAAAGGTGGTCATTGACATAAACTCTTCCATTTTCACCAGGAAATCCCAAATCACTTAGTTTTATTTCTTTTACTTTTCTAATTAATGCTAAGAAATCATCTTTTTTATACCGGGACTGCATCTTCAAAACAATGGGCTTTGATTTTTTACCTTCTTCGTTATTCATAATGGCCACGCGAGTGACAAAGTCGACGTCGGTGTTTATGTCCAAAGGGAAGCCAGATACTTTAGCGATAGATTTTATTATTTCAATTAGGTTTTCTCCTTTGTTTTGAGGAATGCCATTTATTTGGAGGTTAGATCGTCGAACCCATTGTTCATTATAAGCATTCTTCTCTAGCAATTCAGTGACTGTAGCCTTTAAGGCTGTGACGTCTGTCTTTGCGATTTCTAACAAGGATACCCTGGAGTCGATATCGGATACTTTGTTGGTGATTTCATCGATTCTTGAGTCTAATGTAGTTTTCAACTCTGCTATATCGTTCACGACTTGTTTAATATCCGTCTGCAATGATTGGAAAGCGGCGAATTGTGTCTCGAGGCTAGATATCTTTGCCAATATTAACTTCACTGCCTCACCCATGTCCAATCCACAATCAACATCCATAGTTTGTATTGGATCTTCCCCCTGGCTCAATTGTTTTGCAGTAGGAGCAGGCTTAGGTTTATTCTCTCGGCACGATGAACACGACCAATTCTTCTTATTTTGCCCAAGCCTTTCAAATACCCTCTCAGTAATTCCACTGCAGCCGAAATGAAATTTGCCACTACACGAAAAACACTCAGGCCCATGGCCCACAACTTCCTTGCACTTTGCACAACGAGAAGAAGCGAACGCTGTTGCCATTGCAGTTGAGCACCCCTGAATACCGTTCAATCGGAGAAAATACTACTTCTAGTTAGGACGCGTGTCTACTCAACGGAGTACCGCGCGCGTCTCTAATTATGCACACTAACAATAACAACAGAAATAACAATAGGGCTGTATTAATAGATGCGGTCTTGAGAAGCTATTTTGTATGAAAAAAAATAAAAACTTTCAGTAAATATCCAGATGTTGACTTACTCGGTACAAGGTCTCCCGCCGTAGATTTACGAACTGATGGCGTAGTGTTTGACTTTCACACGAGCTTGTAAAAGCCTAGACTGAATAAATGAGTTTGAGTTTGACTATCAGAACCACTTGTCCAATCAGCATCTGCATACCCCATCAACGGCTTAATAACGATATCCTTATCATACACTAAAGCATAACCTACAGTTTTCTTAGCATATCTCAACAATCTCTTAAGAACTGTCCAAAAAATTAACACTTGGTTTCGACTGAAAAATAATAATCAGACGCTGCTAAGTCAGGTCTTGTGTCCACAGTGGCATACATAAGTGAACCAATTGAAGATCTATATTTCTTTTCATATGATATATCAACTATATTTATTCTAAAACTTACACATATTTACATTTAAATAACAAAAACTTAAAAACTACATGATTAATAAAATTTTCATTCCAAATAACCTTAACTTACTTAACTACTACTTAATGTCTAAAAACTCAAAAACCAGAAATAACTAACTATACAATTTACAAAATAAAAAATATATCACCCCCAGCGCCGCTGTCAGGAATGGTGCCCAATAGGCTGGCAGCATTTCCTCGTTGGATAGCAAGGCTAATCCGTTGACCAAGGTAGCTGCCAGTCTTTTGATCACCGGTCGCTTGAGTCGCCTTGGGTCGCTCGAACGAGCGCTTGGCCCCCTATGGTCCCATAGTCTCCACACCAAACAGCACAAATATATAGTTCTCATTGAGAGTTGAATATTTGCGCCGCTTGGAGCACTCATTGCACGTGTCAGCCAATTGATAATGTGAAACAACATATGTATGTGGGTCTTTTGATTGACGAGAGATTTTGCTGGGGACCTCACAAAGATTACGTATGCGCCAAGTTAAGATCAATCGCGAGTAAACTATCTATATTAAAAAATAAACTACCATAAAGAACCCTTAGACTCATATATTTGTCCCTAGCTGAATCTGTTGTAAGTTATGGCCTAAGTAGTTATGGAAGAACTTATAAGACATACATAGAGGAAATTCAGTATAAAATGCTAAAGATATTGTACCCAAATATATAAAAGTTAAATATAAAGGTAACGCACAAGAATTGTTTCGATATTGTAATGTGATGAATGTTTATGACAAGGTAAAATACGTAATTCTAACCGAATGTAACGAGACTAAGTACTTGAATATTATTAAGAGACCAGATAATCTGAGAAATGTGTTGGATCGTAGAAAGTTTTTGTTGCCGAAATGTAATAATGTCCACGGAAATAGAAAGCTATGTTATTTAATACCTTCCTATCTTAATGAATTGCCTAGTAATCTACAGGAAATGTACTCGAACATTGTAATCAATAAATATAAATTTAAAAGACATTACTTAAAAATTAGTCAACTTGAAAGTGTATAAAGTGGTAAATGAGTGGCTCCCATACACATATAAACCTTAACAGGTTTTCGTGTGTTTTTTTTTAATTGTATGTGTATGATTGTATTTGATAATAAAATAAATAAATAAATAATAAATAAATAAACATAAATCATTCTCAACAGTTTTATTTTTTAATCCTGACAGACCATGAACCATATCCTTTTGTATTAATAAGTGTTAACATTCCTAAATGGACAAACCTTCTATGCCACAACTAAGATTCATATTTATTAATTTTGACTACAAAATTACAAAAATTTACCACATATTGCAAATTTAAAGTGTTTAGAGTGCCGGTGTTTTTCCAATCATTATTTGTTCATTATGGTTATAAATTCTTACCTTTCCTTGGTCAAAGTTCACACTCATGCCTGCAATCTCCATTTAGAAACCGATAACAATTTTTTCCTTAGTTCAGGTGCAAAATAAACTTTTTATTGTAAACATAGGTGTTCTTTGTTTCCTACTGTGCTTATTACTTCTATATTACCTATGCCTATTGCTTTTAAATGCACACCATTTTTAGCAGATGCATTTTTTCTTGGTTTTTTCAATTCTAAATAGTTAATAAAAAGGTCTGTACAGTTTATTAAATGATCTAACTACCCAGAATCTACATAAAACTCAAAAAACGCACTACTTTTTTCACTTTCCACTTGTTCGCCACTCAAAAAAGCACCACTATAATTATTTGTACCTTGACCTGCTCCTTTGCCTCTAACCTCGACCACGGTTGCCTCCTCGTCCACGTCCTCTATTATAACCTTGTACTTGATAATTGAATGTACTTACTCCTTGATGCTGACCTGAATATCCTTGATTATTCCCATAATAATTTCCTCTTCCTCTGTTTCCGTTCCCTCTTTGTTTACATTAGAATTTCTTGTGACCCGGTTTTCCACATATAAAGCAATTAAATGCATTTGTTGCATTCACGTATCTTTTAGGGCTTTCTTTCTATTCTCCTCTTCCGCTAACAATCTATCAATAACCATGTTCAACGAAAAATCTCCAATTGTTTCTAGTGCAGTTACCACAGACTCATATGACTTTGGCATTGATAGCAATATGTAATTTACTTTTTCTTTCTCAGTCAACCGTGTGTCAGCTTCTTCTGTGTACAAATTTACCTAATTTTAACAAAATGTTCCTTTAATGGCTTATCTTCCTGATATTTTATTTCACTTAACTGTCTTACTTAAAAACGATTTGCTTCTTGTGTCTTTTTCTTTTAAGTTTTGCTCCAGGTTCCTGAAGATTAAATAAGCCGAGTCATGTCGGTCATATCAACTCTGTGTCAACTTTATCGTTGAATGAATATGGAATAGGTCTAGGCTTTGCAAAAATTGGCTTATAATTCTCTATCAATTCTTATTCAACTTCGTCACCTTTGATAACCCCTAGTTTATTTTTAAAAACTTCAGCATATTCCTCTAAAATGTTATGTAAATTAGAAATGTCTACAGAATTTAAAATACACTTTTTCATGTCGATACTGAAAAGTTTGATCAAATCTCGGCCAAAAAGATTTCGACAACCACTTTTAACAACTAATAGAGAACTGATATTTTTTGTATTATTTAACTCTATTTGAACTATAATCTCCTCTAAAGGTTTTAATAACTGACCACTATAAGTCTTTAAGTCTAAATCAGTTTGTTTTAATTTAATATTATGAAATTTTTCTTTATAAACACTCTCTGGAATACATGAGACAGCTGCACCTGTATCAAGCTCCATTGTTATTGGTTTTGAATTTACATGACATTTTATCATATATGGTGAAATGTAACCAATATCTTTGTTTTGTGTTATTGTAAAAATGTCAACGCAATCTTGTTCTTTGTCCAAATTATGTGTGGCTCTACTTTTACATATTGAAGCTAAATGCCCTATTTTATGACAGTTTTTACATTTGTATGTTTTGTATTTACACTTTGCAAATGTATGGAACGCAGTGAACACATTTTAATATATTTTTTGGACCCTTGTAGTCTCCTGTCACTGGCTTACTTTTTACTTTCTCAACTTTATTTACTGAAATGCTCGGTTGTTTACAAGCTGCTTTCTTATGTAATGCAATTTCCAATAACTCCTTAATGTTTTTTACACACCGACACCGGCTCCTCACATAATCTATCTTGTAAAAGACCTGGCTTCAAACCTGTAACAAATTTGTCTTTAACTCGCTCCTCCACACCCTGGGAGAAGTTGCATTCAGCTGCTGCTTCTTTAATGCAAGCATACCATTTTGAAACATTTTCCTCATCATCTTGTTTTAAATTGTCAAATAAAATTCGTTTTCTATAGTGCGAAGTTCTGACTTGAAATCGCAACTTCAATGTTTCTTCAATCTCTTTGTAAGTTTTCTCTTTCGGCAACTTGGGATGCAGCATGCTCTTCAAAATTTTGTAAACGTTTTCATTTAATGAAGTATCATTACTGTTAGTAAACAGTGTATAATATACTTCTCTTCCCCTAGCCATTTTCTCTATGAGAGCATGAACAGAATCTCCTTCATTTTGCGTATGACCCTTTTCTAAAACACGATGGCAGATCTTGATTTTGAAAATATTAGCGGCCAATAAGTACATGTAATATACAATGCGATTGCGGTTTTGTCCACCACAATTGTCAGACCATAAATTGATTTCAGATATTCCTTTAGAAACTAGCTTAGAGAAGAAATCGCATAAACAACTGGCTACTTCGTTAGCGCCCCTTTTAGCAATTTGTTCGTTCCACATGTAACAAAAAGCTTCTTTAGAAGCCAGTTCAAAAATCGTAAAATTATACACATTAAGCTTACGCCTATAAAAGTAAACGCTGATATTACCATGAGGTGCGCTAAATCAATACCTTTTGAAAATCAAATACAATGCATGCTACTTTGTTGTTAGATAAAGCTAAAATTTTAGTTTCTAATTTTAATTTACGTGAAAATTCTTTTTCGTTTTGGTGCTTAGCAAAATTTTCCTTTTGTTCATCTGTAGGACTAGACGTGTTCTTAAATTGATGACAGAGGTCGCACTGATCTTTTTTTGGCAAATGAAAACCTATCTTCATATTAGTATTAACTATATCCCTATAAGGTCTTACTGTCCCTACTTTATCATTATAATTATTTTTTGAACACCATTCTGCATACAATTTATACATTTTCGAAAATGATAAAGAAGAACCTAAATATTTTTTGTTTGATCGCTACCTGACATAATGAGATTCAACAGGTATGAAAGAGTTAACGTGATCAATAACGCTTTGTTTCATTAAATTGGTAATTATGGAGGCATGATTTTTATGTCGATCTCTGTCATCATTAATATCTACAAAATCATTGCAGTCCTTGTTTTTGTGTAATGCGAGTAGGTAGGTATTGGGAATTCTAATTCACTTTTATCTCTATATCACAAAACCAAAAAAGTGAATTAAAATCCCCCAATCACAAGCGATTGGAGGCTTCTAATTCACCTTTTTTGGTTTCGCGATATAGAGATAAAAGTTAATTAAAATCCCCAATAACCAACCAGGTACCGTGGCATTCTTAGTTACCCCACGAGTGAGGTCGCGACTAAACAACATCTTAAATATGAATAATATCTAAAATAGGAATATAAATAGGTGCAATTAGATTTTAATATACTTAATCAGTTGCTATATGACTATTTATTAAAACAATCACTCGGAATAACGGGGACGATAATTTGATTCAAACAATCCGTAAAAAATCATCAGTGTCTCTACAAAATTATAAAAACGCATTTTATAGCGAATTTAATAAACATCGTCAGCTTACCAGTATCGCCTGCTGTCCCGCTGGCCGCCGGTCTCGAGGTCAAGTGCCGCGCGTGCAATATGATGCGACATTCATGTCATGCCTAAAGCGAGCATTTTGAAACGCTAATTATAATAAAGCCAGAGAATTCATAAAAATTACTTTTATGAAACTTCTATTCCTGGTGGGATTTTATAATATCAATATATGTCGTACTTTAAAACGAATGCAAATTATGACTGTATTCTAAATTTAACTTTTAATTTAATGGCTTGTCATCACTTTAAAAATAGTTTATGTTTATATAGAGTATTCGATTTTCGATTTTCGTATGATTTAATTATAATACAGAACGCTGAGTTCAAATAATAAATCGAAATTATAACGAATATGGATTTTTTTCGTTGTAATTAATTTCTTAATTATTTCTTTAATATCATGGCCGTCAATTTGAGTAAAGGAATCCAATAATCATCTATATATAATTTTATTATTAAAAGGTTTGCTTCCATACAAGAAGGTATTGTCAATGTAATTGAAAAATAACTCATGTTAATAACATACGTAAAACGTGTCTCAAAAATCTGGCGGGATTCGAACCTGCATCTTAACGAATATTATTTCAAATTAAGTAGTTTACATGTTTATATATAATATAATGTAACTTACCAGAAAATATCTTTAGTACATCATTATTAGCACATCATTATTATCACATCACTAAAACAATTATTATTCAAGGGTTCTTATCTGATAATGTCTTCATGGGCCACTTTGACTCATGCCCTTATACAATGAAAGCGTTATGATAAAGATATTAAACCATGTGAATGAACAGGTTGCCTCAGGGAGTACCCAGTATTTTTATAAAGTTTAAATCAGGTTGGCTCGTGGTCTCCTTGAATAGTTGTCAACTTGTCTCGGAGGAACCACATAGAAGTCAATAATTTAGGAATCACGATGTCTAGGCCAGATTGGATCATGGTCTCCTTGAATATAATTCAAAGCCGATTGCCTCGGAGTTACCATCTAGACAGCGCGAGTAACATTTTCTGGAGCAGATTGGCTCGTACTCCCCCATCCAACAGAGTTAAGATATTTTATCAATAGCCGCCCACGGTTAGGTTACAACCATGAAAACAATAGCAAACACGGGAACGCCATGAGTAAAAATTGATATTTAAATCACTTTAGCAAATATGTCAACGAGTGCCCGGGACTGGCGCGCAAGGAGAATGAATTAATTATAAGAATATTTCTTTGTCCCTAAAAATGCTGATGCTGCAGCGTTGGTAACTGTATGCACACACGCAAAGGTGAGCTAATGTGTGCCTACAAAGTAAAACACATGTTGCAGTTGTTACTCGAATGATGCAATAAATAATGAACGTTGAACGAGCGATAATATGCAAGTATGCAAATAAAATGTAGTGGTATGGTCATAGTGTACAGACTAGCGTTTTATGAAATAGCAATTTGTTACAATCTATTAATTAAAGTTACGAAAATGAATCGCTTTTTATTCAGAATTTGAATAACATAAAACAATTAGTAGGTATATCCATTAAATTTCTTATGTTTACTTAAAAATATTAATGAAAATTGGTGAATATTTGATATATATATTATTTAAAATTTTTAATTATTTATGTCGTCACTCACACTTAAGTGAGAGCCGTTCCTAAAATATACTTAAATGTGCTGCATCTACCTCTCATCTTTGCAGTGCAAACTCAATTCTGCTACACTAGAGAATACTCCAATTCGAGCGAAAAAGCCGCTACACGCTATTCTCTTGATACGTGGACCAACCTTAGTTACACTTACATTATAGTCAAGGAGTCGTATACGTATTTAAAAGAATTGTAATTAATTAATTACATTTCTTATATTATATTTCTTCGTACCAAATTCGTTAATTATGAAAAATAATAAAATGTACTTTTGATGCATTATTGTTATGACAAAAACATATTGCAGTTATTCTTTAATACTAGTAAGGGAATAATTTATACAGTTGCACAAAGACATGCTATTGTCGAATTTCAACAACATTTCTTGTTTCTTTAATTAAGTAGTCATGCTACTTATATGAAGTGAGATAAGAGTTCCGGTGTATTTTTGGCAAAGTCAATATTTTTCATAACACTGAGAAATATAAAACTCGTTACGTTTTCCATTCAGATTTAGCAGCCGGACCTTGAACTATGCTTGAAGTCGAATAGAATGAATAAAAACAATACACATGGAAGATAAAATTACTAAGTTTAGATTTGAGATTTATTATTTATCTATATATTGATAACAATAACTATTTTATTTGATATATACATGCAGATATTGCCATCTGATAATTAAATATAACAGCAGTAATCCACCCATCCTCACCATGCTGGCCCGAACGCAATCCCCTACCGAGTGGAAGACTGGAAACTTACCTACAACATCACGAAAATTTTATTTTATTTTAGTGTGAAGTCTTTATGAGAAATTACTTCCCCAGTCGGGGGTTCCAATTCAAGCGGGAAATCCGCTATGCACTACTACCACTTAAAAGCTGACTTTACTAATTCCAACCGGACGTGGACGTGTACCTATTGTAAATTGATACATTTGTTTTTCACAAAATTTATTTTGTGCAATTTTCGCAATGCAAATTAATAATTGCTGAATATTAGAAAAATAACCACAGTGTTAACAAACCTTTTTTAAATCATAGCATTCAGTGATGTTTACTTAACTTTATTATTATATTTTAGTTACGTCTGTTATTAATTTTCAACAAAAATGTTGACCATTCCATTTGCTTATCATGCAATATTTTGAAATAAATTGAGGTTTTCCAATCAATACACCTTTATTACAACTTCAGCACGGCTCCGTTGTGACCATCACCTAGTGTTTTAATTGTTAATACCACGAAGATTCATTGCGTTGAAATCATGTTCGTAAGTTTTTTAAATACATTATTTTATTTGTCTGTTTATTGTATTTGTTAATTTACAGTGTAACTCTTTTGTTCTCAGGACGGATATTGAATATTATAATTCCAAGCCTGCCGCTAAGTCACAATTTAACATCAAAAAGAACATTGATTTTGAAGACGAGGAAATGAACAAACGTGATATGATGTCTCTTGTGTAGTGGTTACTCTTAGATAACGTTTACATAATTTAATAAGTTAGAAAATCTTCTTAACTTTACTCTTTGATATGTTTTATATTATAAATCCATGACTTTCACTTATAATTATCCCACTAATAGAACATGTTTTGATAAGTGCTTTGTATTTTTTGTGTACTACAGACCAGACCAGCGACCACGAAAAACAAACAAGAGATTGGTGTACGAGTCTGGCGAAGAAGGCTTGAATAAACAGTAAGTTTCGTGATTTAATGAACCTTTCTAACAGTGTATTTTGCAACCTGTAAGTGTATGTACTTCAGATACAGAAATGTATACTAACCTTTCTATTTTTAATTGCAGATCAGATCAGCAAGTTCGAAAGGTGACCAAGAAACTAGTATACGAGTCTGATGAGGAAGAATTACCGAAACGGTAAGTTTTAAAGATAAATTTGACATTGATTTATCTAATAAGATTAGGCAATTTATTTATATAAAATATCAAGCATGTCGATATTTGAATTTAAATGCTATTAACCAAGTGCAGATAAATATTGAGTGTATATCAATGAATCTGTAAGACAGATATTTATCTGGGGTTCGTGCCGAAAACTCATTCCAAATGATTTAATATTTCCCATTGTTGTCTTATTTAATTTAATAAGTTTTTAACCAAGTTTTTTTTTTAAATTTCAGTACCATTCAAGCAGTAAAGAAAGCACCCAAACGAAAGGCGGTCGAGCGACCTAGTGTGGAGAAACGAACTCGACCTGCTGCAGGGTGGAAACTTGACTTCGACGACGAGGCTGAGGAGATCGAAGCCAGCCGCGTGCGCAAGCCAGCAAACCGTTTTCAGTCCGTGTTAACACGCCGTGTCGCCGACGGGTGTCTGCGCCGTACTGCTAGCTTGCCGGGCGATCTCTTTGTGGAGCTGCGCCTCTACAACACTAAAGATATTAAGTGTGTAGACCCAAAAGATCGTTGGCAGCGTGCAGTCTTATCTTTGAAGTACCAGACGGACTCAGAAGCTGATGAATTGGAGCTACTGCGACAGTTCATCAAACGAGCGCGACGAGAATTCGTAGAAGACGGGACGTTCTTCGCGGATAAAAATAAATAGCATTGATAGTAAATTGTAAGCTTATTTAATATAGTAATTACATGCTGATAATATTTTAATTTTATTTAACTGGTGACCAGTCTATTTAATATATTTATTAGTTTCATTTTGCAAAAATGTCAAACAGGTCGATATATTGCACAGTTTGCGACGTATCTGTCAATAGCAATAGATTTTCTGCTCATTTGAAAAGTAATTTACATAAAAATAATTCTGCTATCGACTTAAGTGATGGTATAGAAAAAATATGTAGCGCTTTTCGTAATCGAATAGCATCGTATCGCCTAAGCAACAGCGACGCGGAGACGGGAGCTCCTGCTGATTTTTTGCGTGGCATGC